GTCACTCTATATAAGGCAGTAGTATTAGTTGAGATAAAAACAGTTATAAGATTTTTTTACCAACATCAACTTTATATAAATGACATCTGTAAAAGAAATCAAACTGAAAATTATTATTATTATTAACTTGATCAGTCTGATACCTTTTTAGCTGCTTACATTTTTGTTTCAATCGAGGTGCTGAATGACTTAACCCTGTCAAAAAGTAAATGACAGATGTAGCTTCACATCTTGTTTTGCATGTAAACACTGAATCCACATTTCTGGCAGCAGAACCTCGTGGTTACACTCCCAGAGAGTCTGACTTCTTCAGCATAACAATTTTAGGAGTGACTTTGCTGCTTGTGGATGGCCAGAGTGTCACACTGCCAGATATTGTACTGTTCAAACTGAGGTGTGGAATTAATTGCAATGAAAACTAGGGAGCACAGATGGAGTCGGGGGGTTGCTGTGGGAATATGGGGGTGTGGGGGGTGTTTGTGACTCTCAGCTGAAGCAAGACTTCTTGCAGTAAGAGCAGTAGCAGCTGGGAAGGTTCTTTCTTCCCAGTACATCAAGGTTCTCTGCTGTCTGGAGGACTCTTCCAGCAGCTCTGTTGTGGCTCAAAGGCAGCAAGAGCAGTTACTGCTGACAGCATTTCTGAGCTTGCCACAGGCAGGAATTGGCCGTTTCCCCAAAGTACTTTTGGACATTATATTCTGTAATTAAAGAAAAAAAAAAAAAGGAAAAGAAAGGAAAAAGTCACTTCTTCATCACTGCTCAGGAACAGACCAGGAGGCATCTCCTTCCTTTGGTTCTTCCTTAATTGCCAAGAAACTTTCCATGCCCTGCAGGAACACCACTAATAACAACAAAAGTCCCGGGCTGCAAACAAACAAGAACTGCTCTGTTCTTTTATTTCAGATTGCTGCCTTGCCTGTATGTGAGACATCAAACAAAGCAAGGAAGCTGATTGCTTTTCCCATTATTTTTACTAGAAAACAGGAACACCCTGTGAGGATGTCCAGCGACCAAAAGTGCAGTTACTGAAGTGATCTGGGATTTCCACTCTGCTCTGGGACTTTATTATGACCCCAGCTCGTTGTAACCAGTTTTTATCCTGCTGGCAACTCTTGTTTTAAGCCATTGCTTCAACGAGTGGCTTCAGGAGCTTCATACCATCTCCAGTGTTGATGGCAGTGAACAAATATGCCAAGGTAAATTGCTAAATCAGTATAGACAGCTCTGCAGATCGTGTTAATGATAACAGTTGCAATGTAATTAACACATTGCAATGTGGTTTGGGGGGGGGTATAATTAAATGGATTAACAAATGTTTAATACTAAGAGAAATCTATGTGCCAGAAAATAAGTATCAGTACCAGAATGGGATAGAGGGACAGAGTTTTGCCACCCTGTGGCATAGTTGGCATAAATGAGGTTTTTATTCCTTCTCACACGCTCAGACAAGTTCCAATGCTCTGGCAGCCCCAGCAGCTCACAGGCTGGTGGCTTTCTTGCTAAGTGATGTTTCTCAAGGAGGTCATAACACACTCTGGTGTTGCCCTCCCTCCTGTCTGCCCTCTTTGGGCTAGTGAAAGATTTCCAGAGAAGTTCAATAAAATTACAATGCCTAAAATCAATGGGATCCTGGATGTTCTCCCTGCCTGTTGTTACCAGAGTTTCACTTTCTATGATCCCTGGGAAGAGAGCTCTCCAATGGCTAAAATGCACAAATAGATCGAGAGAGATATCAAGAAAGTGATTCTTGGTGACTCCTTGCTTTCCTTCCTTTAACCATGAGATACTTTGGGGTTTATTACAGTAAATGCTTTCGTTTTTCTTTTTTAATTTGTTAAGAATTCCACCTCTAGAAGGTAGAATACCACCAGAAGGTAGCATGTATCCCAACGAGCACTGCCTTTGGGCTACTGAGACTCCTGGTGAAGATCCAGGGTCTGGTGTTGTTTCAGATAGCTAAGTGCAGGAATTGAGTGATTTTTCATCAGCATACTGCAATACTTAAACAACAACACTGCCAGACACTGAAACACAGATTTTAAAGAAGGTTATTTTAATATGTGTCCTTTTAAGTTTCATGGTCTGCTTTATCTGTTTGATGGATGTTTAGAGATTACTCTTCTATCCATAGTTTGGTTTTTTTTCACTGATACAGCTAGATATGTATTAGCTGAACATATATATTTAAAAGGAATGTATATATTTACAAGGAACCATGCTAAAAGTGCAGTATAAGGCTAAAATCAGCCACTTCAAAATTAGAAAATGTCCCGAGTGCCTTTGCTTGGTAACAGTGCTGCTTGTAGAGTATTCTGTTACTCTGTTCTGTCCTAGGCTGTCACTGTGAGCAGCACAAGGAATAGACAATGCTGAAGGAAGGTCTCACAGAGACTTTCCTCCTGGCTTAACTGGGTCTGTCCATTCTTTTGCTCCAGGTATCAAGTGACCTTTGAATTCCAGGACCCACTCTGATCCCCTCTGCCTCAGCTCCACACAACGCACGGAGCTGATGAGCAGGGATCAGATACCCAGTGTGGAAATCACCTGAGGATTAGATGAGCTCAGCACTAATTACATTAGTTAAAATAGAAAATGCCAAGGAACCTTGTCTGGGCATTGTTACCTTCAACACCTAACCCAAAAGGAGATTCAGATGCTAGGCACAGATGTGTGTAATCAAATGAATATTATCCATAATAATCTGGTGCTCGTAGGGGCTTTCCCATTTTTGCTGGTAGTCAGGGTCCCCTGATGGAAGAACAGAGAAATAGGGGTTGGTTGGTTGCATCTATTTGTTTTGCTTTTTAAAGTTTTTTTTTCATATTGACATAAAGGATTATTTTCTAGGAAATACAGGCAGCATTTAGAGAAGAGCAGCGTGGGTTTGTTATAAAATAGAGGTGCTGCTTCCAGTCACTGATACGGCTTCTTTTGGAAAGCCCCTTTCATTGTGTTTGAAATCAAAACACACAAAGTCTGAAATTAATGCATTCAGTTAGACACAGGCAGGCTGGAATGCTCCTGTTAAACCCAACCTCTTCAACCCTGCCACTGCTGCTGCTTGTAGTACAGATCTGTAGCAGCACTGCGTGGTGGAACAGCCTTTCCAAAAAGCCAACAGCAGCAGTGAGCACCTTCCACCTCCCCTCTGTAAATACCTGATGCAATCAAGAATGAATGGGGGAATAAGAAGCTCTAAGAAGGATGGCAGCTGGGTAGCTGGTTTCGCTTTGGACGTGTGGGATGCATTTTTTTTGAGGAATGCTGCTCTCCCAGCACAGCCTCTCCCTCAGTGAGAGTGGTGCTGGAATCCATCCTCTTTAGCCACGACTTTCACACGACATTTTTTGTACTCGGATGCTTTAGTTTTGTATCAGATTCTGTAATTAAAGAAATCCAGATTCATTGACCTCAGCAGTCCAGATACATTGACCTCAGCAGTCCAGCTTACAGAGGCTAAAACTTTCTAGGCTGTGTCTTATGATCAGAAAGATAAAAGAAAAAAACAAGTCAGCTAGAGCCCATCATCGCCCTGACTATCATGTCATTTGAAACCGCACTCCTAAATTGGGAGAATTGCCTAATGCCATATTATTACACAAGATTCAGATGTCTTCTAGTTCACTGTTTAATAGGAAAACCAAGAATATAATATTTGGGTGTTCAAATACATGGTTGTCACTAGACTTTAAAGGCGTAGCTACCACAATCAGCTTGTAGAGCTGAGAGAGTTTAGAAACTGGGAAGTAATCTGAAAGAGTGAAGAAATGAGGTTAGATTTAAGTGTCCAATCCATGGCGTGTGATGTTCTGAAAATGGCTGGGCTTTAGAAGATGATATTCTGGAGAGACAAATGGAGACAGATAGTTTAAAAGAAAGGAGTTACAGCTGTGAGTTATAGAAGGTATTTACATCACCCCAGGGGCTCTGTGGCACACTCTCATCTTTGGTACTCTTCTGACAGCAGTGGATCTTTAATAAAATAATCAATTTTCATAATCAATAACCTGACTTTCAATCCTTTCTAATTTCTTTTGTCTTTCTTCTTCTTTTTGCTGATAAGGGTGGAAACCATGGGTGTGAGAATTCAAATTCTCATTCTCTTCCTGAGCACCTCAGAGAGGTTTTCAAGGCACTCTGCCCCTTTTTGAAGTGGCTAACTTTTACTTTTGACAAAACTTGCAGGGTAGATAAGAAAGCTTCATGACACCTTAAACCAACTGAAATCTTTCCAGGCACCAGGGCCAAGAGTCCCTCTCCAGAGTAAGGACTGGCAGTGAGGGAGAGGCCGAGGGGCTGCCCAGGGGCCGAGCGCCAGCGGCAGGGCTTGTTCTGCAGCGGGACGGGAGGCAAGCGCGGGGCTCTCAGAGGATGCTCTGCGGTGTGCTGCTGGTTTAAGTGGCAACGTGCAAAGCCTGAGCCTGTATGGAGTCACCCTGGTCGGTTGTGAGTTTTCACACACTCATCCAAACAGGGGTAAAATGACTGTACTGAAAAAGAGCTTGTTTCTTACTGGGAACTCTTTAGAGTTGCAGCTCTTGAGTGTGGCGGACGGACGGGGCAGGGCTTGGACTGATGCCTGCCCAAGGCTTTGGGGTGGTGAAGTGCTCTCAGAGGGTAGCCTAGATGACTCAGGAGCCTGTGTTTCTGCACAGCCACCCGTGGACCTCGGGTGATAACCTTGATACATGCAGCCGACGCACAGAAACCCAGCAGCTCAGGCACTAGTGATTGACGCAGTTTTGTTTTGTTCTTTTTATTTTTACTTTTCTTTTTTGGGCAGCCCCCTCCCCTCCCCCTTCCTTCTAAACTGTTTTCTCAGCTTGCCTGAGCCTCAAAGCCTGTCTCCTGCTTGTCTTGAATAGCTGCTGGAATGGACTGAATGAACAGACACGGAGCAAGACTGGGCTGGACCCTGGGAGGATCTCAGCCTCCAGGAGGAGCAGCCTGGCGGTGTGACCTGCGATGCTGGGAGCTGGGGAGATCTGACACCACTACAGATGGCTGCCTGCAGCCTGCCATTGGGAATGTGGCTCCTGCTCCTTCTCCAGGATGTCCAGACAGCCCCGCAGGTAAGGCAGGGTGGCACCAGGATCCTGCAGCCCCTCAGGGCACAGGAGCCTGGAGGGGTCTGGGACACTCTGGGCTGCAGGGCTGTCCTGCCCATGGCTGGGTGCTGGGTGGTGGGTGCTGGGTGGTGGGTGCTGGGTGGTGGCTGTCCCCAGAAATGGGCTTTGTGCAACGCAGGGTGGCAAAGGTGCAGAGCAGAGCTGGCAGAGAGTTTGCCCTCTCTGGAACTTTGCAGGGGATATGAGCTATGATCTGCATCTTTTTGTTGGCATTGCCAGCGTTGCTACTTCTCCAGGCACATCACAGCTAGGGAATGAGGAGAGAGTTGATCAGGGTAAGGGACTGTTCTCAGTTTTGGTGAGTGGCTTTTATTTTGGTCTGGATGGCCAGGTGCTCTGTGGCAGGCACATGCCTTGCAGGGCTTGGTTCAGAGGGCTTCTGCTCAGCCTGCTGATGTGAGGCAGGGTTGGCAAACTGGAAGGTGTAAAGGCAAATAAAACAATAAAATACCTTCCTCTTTACAACCGCTCACCCCTCTGACTCCAACTTCCTCATGAATGGGCTATTATGTCTGCATCAAACTGACTTAAAATAGACATAGCCCACTAGTTGCACTCGCTGATGCTGCAGATGCAGGCTGGCTCCCTGCTCAGATCATATCACCCCTGTGGCTTTGCTCCCCCCTCTCACCCCCTCTTTCCGTCGAGGATCACGTGGTGCCAGCGAGCCCTCAGCACCTGGCAGGAATCCAGGTGATTTCCCTGGCTCATGCTGAGGCACACGCTTCTGAAAAAAGCAAAGGTCACTGGCAGAAGCTCTTTGCACAGGTAAAGTCAGTTGGGTGAGGGACTGCACCCTGTGCTGGATCCTGAGACTGGCCACTCTTCTTTGCAGTGGGAAGACGAGCGTGTGTTAGCCCAGGACACCCCTCTGTGCATTGTAGCTGGGTGATGCAGCACATCACTGGGCTGTCAGTGATTTTTGACAAGATTAGATCTATGAAAATAGTCCTGCATCATCTTCATAGACATTTGAAATAGATCCTCCTGGGTCTGTTTTCTAAGAGTGGGAGTTTGCCCTGTCTCTTTAGTTGTAAATTCCCCTCCCACATTGCAGGTTTGCTCCACTTTGCTGTCTGTCTGTCCTGCCACTGCCTCCTTGAAACACAGCAGGATCATTTTCCTTCTGTAGGACTGGAGCTGGTAGTTCTTGCTCACCTGAGGGGTGCTTAGAGGGCGTTCGATAAACTTGTCTGCTCTGCTGAATGCAAAATGCTTTAGGAGAAAGGTGATATTACTTTTGGTGTTTTGTTCATAAAATGAAAGGGGCAGAGAGAAAAATCTGGCTTTCTGATACTTATTGCCAACATTCAGACTCACTGCAAGATCACCAGTTATCTGGAATAAATACGTAAGCCTTGCTGGGCTCAGGAACTGGCTTTCCAGTGTCCTTCTGCATGGCCTCTGTCACAGCAGCACTTGCTTTTGGTGCTGCTCGAGTGCAAGTGACACTGTGCAATGTGAGCAAGCCACAGCTTGTTGCTCATAGTTTACACTGTATTCCACCTCACTTGGGTCCACAGCTCGAGTTTTGTTTGTTTTAATGTTCAGTTAACTCCCACTTGTTAATAATGTCTTTACTACCAAGCAGATGAAGCTTGAAAACCTACTTGAAACCTTGGATGATCAGCTTCTTCTGTACTGTCAGGATTTGGATACAAGCTTGAAAGGGAGTCAACTGTTTTGCTGCAGGATTAGTCAGTTCTGGAATAGCAAATACTGGTAAAAGATTTTTTTTACGGTAACAGGCTTTCTTCCTGACTTACAGCTCATCTGTAGCAAGCTGATCTCACACGCTGCCTCACCATTGCCTTTGCTCTGTGAGATCAAAAGACCATAAACAAATGAGTCAAACCTGGTCCTGACTGAATTGCAAAGTAGCCCACTGACTTCAGCACCATCCCTACCACTGCCATTATTGAAACTGGAATAGCAAAAGTGTTGCCAGGTATGAGGAAACGGAAAAGAGCTCCAAAAAGCCTATATATATAAAAAAAAAGTCTCAAAAGCAAGCACAGAGCTCTCACACCGAGGGGGGCTCTGCTCCTGCCCACACAGTGCCACCAACTTTCTTCCACTGAATTTATGGAAGCGACTGTGCAGCCACAGGATGAGCTGTTCCAGTGCAGTGACCCCCTGAAATCCGGTGTCACAAATTCAGAAAGCAGAGTTTTCAGTCAAACAAACTCCTGGCACTGATTCATCCTCTGGAAACGCAATTGCTCAGCCTTTAACAATCAAGGAGTTAGAGGGGGAGGAAGCTGTGGGTACAAGGAAGAGAGGGGAAGTGGGATTGTGGCCTTGGATGGGAGAGCCACAGGATGAGCACAGCTCTCAGACACAAATTCTCACTTGGCTAATCCATTCTTAGTGCAGACCCATCCCTTCAGAGTTTCCTGGGAACCAGAGGGAAGGACAAAGACCTACTGCCCACCACAGCTGGATTCCTCATCCTTACCCACCAATACCTTTGTGATCCTTCCTTGAATTTTAAAGACCTTTTTATAACATATATTAACAAACAGATTTGTAAGTATTAATGGACAAGACTAAGCGTTGCTGAGGTAGAATTGTATTTCCTCATTAAGATTATCCTTTGGAGGGAGGACAGGGAGATGTGCAATGTCTCCTTCTCTTTTCTTCAGGGAACACTAGGAAACGATGCCTTAAAAAGTGAAATTGTGCAAGAATTTTGAGTTCCCCTGGCAGAACCTGAGTTCTGTTTCTACCTGTCTTGAGATTCAGACAAGAATGGATAAGGAGGAGGGATAGCCAAAAGGTGAAAGAGAAAAATACTTTGAATGTTAATTAAGCAGGATTTTTAAATTTCATTCTGTTTCTTGCAGAGATGAGGAGGTTCTTGTTCTGTAAAACTTTTTGGAGATTTCCTTGATGAAGCAAAGCCACACGCTGCTCTCTGCTGAGTGTGGAGTACAGCACACTCGCCAGTGCTTGTGGGCATTCCAGGAAGAGGGAATGGGGCACAAGTGAAGTTTCTGACACACAAAATCCTTCCCTTCAAAATAAGTAGTAAGGGCCAGAAATGATGAAGTGGCTCATGGGCTAATTAACCATTTCTGTAAGCACAGTGGAGCCAGGAGAATTATTTCTTAGCACTTTCTTTTTTGAGGGCCCCTACACACAGGCAGCATGGGCTCAGGCAGGTGAACACCCCACCCCAGCACTCCCAGCTGATGCCTTTTTGTAAGCAGTTGATAATCTTGAGGGTTTTTAATGCGAGGCTGAAACTTTTTTCTGTCTCTTTTGCTTCATCCTTTCCTTTCATTTTAAGAGCTATTTATGAGCAACTAGGACCTGCCAAGTCAAACCTTAACTTCAACTTCTGCCTAACAAAGAGTTAATTTAAATAAACTGATTTTGCTCTGGAAAAAAATAGTTTTAGTAGTGATATTCACATGATCCTGGGACAAAGTAATTAAGCTCCTGTTTTAATCTGAGGTAGGGTTAAATTTCCACGGTCATCCTAGAATGTATTGAGAAAGGATTCTGTGACTTATAGTTCATACTGATGAATGGGGTAATGGTCCAAGGCAGAAGACTGTCACTATTTTGTAGTTAAACCTTATGTCCCTTTTTTAGGCATTTATAATGGTTGATTTTGTGCAAGCACTCCCAACCAGCATATATTAGCAATGTCTTAATGCTGAGATTTTTGTTGGCCATGAGAGCAGTAAGAGCACTGCTTTTACTCCTCCCTGCTGTGTTCTTCTTCTGCCCTCACATGATTAAGTACCACTTTTCACTTGAATTTTTCCCTTCTTGTGATTCCCCTCCTTCTTTTAGGTGATCCCTGTTCTGATTAAGGCTTGACAAGAGGGATATTCTCTTTAACAGCTTCCACTGTTGGCTACCATCATCCCAATCACCAGAAACCCAGTACCTTGCAGGCTCCCACAGCTGCAGCTGTTGGTAGCAGCTCAGAACAGCACATACCAGTGCTGCTGCTGGTGGTGGGAATTTTTCTCAGAATTTCCCTCCTCTCAACAGGACCATTCTGTGCTGTCACTAGATTCCTTTGTAGCCACAGTGTGAGAAGACAACTTAGCTTTTCCCCTGCCCGTTCTGATTGCAAACAGCATGTGATGTCCTCCTGAGCAAACTGCTTCCCCAGGTTTTTGTATGGAAAGATGCTTTTATGTTTCACTGGAAAAACCGGAGCAAATGTCAGCTCTAAGTTCTGCTGCAGCAGACTGACCTATCCTGCTGGCAGCTGTCCTCCCCTTCACAACTGAACTGCAGATTCTGGCTGGCAAGGTAAAAAGTGTTAACAGCACCACTGGTGACAGTTTGGACAAGATTTAGTAAAAGCAAGCAAATCTGAAGTTGAGGATCCAGTGGGAATGGAGGGACAGTGTGTCCTCTGTGCCCTTACAGAGCCTATCTGGGCTTCCCAGGTGCTACCACCGCAAAAATACCCAGAACTGGAGCTAGGCAGTGGATCCAGAACAGCAAGGACCTTAAAGTAACACATCTAAGGCTGAGCAATGGTAGAACCAGGAACAGAACCACCAGCCTTGAACTTCAGGCCACCAGTTTGTGTTCCATCCGCAGTAGACTTAGACCTGTATAGAAATTTTATGTTTTGATTGAAAAGAGATGTGCTGGTTCAACAGCCTTCATTTCTGAGAAGTTACACACATATGTTGCTTCCATAATTCTGTGGAAATCTGGTGACTTTTTTGGCCTAGCCATGGAAATATTTCACTTTTTAACAGTATTTGTTAATCAGCATTAACATATTTTGTAACTCCAGCACTCAGTCATCGTTCTGTCCAGGAACAGCAAGACAAACATGCATTAAGTATTTTGCAGTCCCTCCAAATTAGGATGGATTTGATGGTTGATGTTTAGATTTCTGCTCTTACAGAGGAGTAACCAACGGCCAAGGAACAAACAAAAAACCCAAACTGTGTCACTTGGAGTCTCCTTGCACACTGAGATATAAGGTGGTGGTGAAATCAAGAACATGCATAACGTATCTTTCCAGAAGCACTGAGTCGTGCAGGACGTGGGACTGGGAAAGAAGAAATCTAGAATTCCCAAGGTTTCTTGCTGAATTGTTTCCAGCAATCTCTTCCTAATTAGAAATACTAAGCTCAACAAAATGAAAGATCAAACAAGTCAACATTCTATTGCAGACTTGCACCCTGATTTCCCCAGCTGCAGATGAGATGGCAGAGGTGGTACTTGACGTGTTGGAGTAGTTAGAGGTGATGGGACTGAGATCATTCATAGGTTCAGTCACTGAGTGGGTAAATCACATCCATTCAGGCCTGTTGCTGCCCACTAATCACATCTTTGTTCTCTTTTCACCTTTTATCTTTGGCTGGTTATCTTTTGGTTCAGCTAACTTATTACCATGCTATTCATTACAAATAGGCAGAAAAATGAAAATTGCATCACCCTTGTGTGGCTGACTTTTCTCAACCTTTTCCCAAAAGCAGCCTAATCGAACCTCCACAGAAAATGAGTTAGCACCATTGTTTTATGGAAGACTTAAAACATTTTGAGACCTTGGCCCCTCACCTCTGCCATTTCTTCAAGGCATATTCTCTGCTTTTAGGCACCCGTTTGTTTAACTTCCCAAACTCACAGAAGTTTTGGTGGGTTCTTGGTGCAAGATGTAACTACGGATTGGAAGTGGTGGGGTCATCAGAAGGCAGCTTCTCAGCCATAGAAATCATGTCATGTTTTGTTAAAATGATTTCTTTTGACAACAGAGCACTTGGGCTTGGCTCAGCGAAGAGTGAAGGTGGCTACAAAGCTGTACTTGTAACTAGGCACTGGAAAGCAGCGTTTGTTGTGAAGCAATGTCATGTGTTCTGTAGCTGGCTGCAGGATATAGGTGCCCTCTCGTGGAAAGGGAAAAAAAGGTTGAATACTCTTTTGTATGTATGTTTTCATCATTTGTGTACACTGTGTATGCATCATTCGTTCAGTGATTTATCTCAGCACTGGCATCAGGTCAAAGTCATGATCAGGATTTGCATTGCTGTAAGTAAGGGAAGAATCTAATCCTAAAATCCTGATTTCAACATTTTAGACAAAGTACTTTTTTAGATAGCAGCCCTTGCCTCACACTTTTACACAGACACTATTCCTTTATTTAAAACCCCCAAAAGACAATTAAATAAGCTGTGGGCTTATTCGTTGCCTAAATCATTCAAGAATTTTATTCCCATCCCAATTTCAAATTCAACATCATTTGCAGCCCGAGTTGGTTGCCCAGGAGAACTGAGAAGGGAAGATCAGGTGCCTGGGGTGACTTCCCATAGCTCTCACAGAGAAACCAACCCAGGAAGGGTTAGCTCCAGCAAGGATGCTGCTGTGTCTCAATTTTTCTTTGTAAGTAGTTAACTCATTTAACGTCACCGAAGTGACTCCAGAGTGACCCCTTGGGCCTCGTGTCAGTTCCTGCTCTTCAGCGGTTAGTGCAGAAATGTGTCAGGCAGGATTTCTCAGTCCTAGCCCTGAATCTCGATGAAATGTAATGGTTTCGATATGTTTCTATTTCTTGTCCCTTTGATAATGTCCTCCTTGACTGAACGTTCCTGTTTTCTGATGTAAGCTGGGTCAAGTTAAATACCTTCTGTGTTTTATAGCCCTGCTTTGAGAACAGTGAGAATAGACAAAGAGAAGAGTTCAGCTGTGAGATGAAGTAGTAAGATTCTGCACTGCAAACAAAGGCAGTAGGAGACAGGAAGTGCTATTTCAAAGGCCAATGAGAAATTTGTCTGCAGAAAGTGAGATGTAGGTTTTCTGAAATATTTAACCAGTATCACGTGGGAAAATCTCGGGAGAATCTGCTGATTGAGTCTTTACAAAACATTGTCATTTATACCTTCTAGCAAATATTGAAAATGAAATTCAGATAACATTTTTAGGGGATTAGTAAGGGAGATGCCAAATTCAAGAATCAGATTTCTCATCAGAAAACTTGCAGAACTGTAATTTCCCAGAAATTCAGAATATTGAATTATAGCTAAATACACTGAAAATTGCAATCTTTGCTTAAGTGTATGGGCAACAGTAATGTAGTTGCTTTGGGGATACATGAACTTCCCAAAAGCTGGAGGCTTTTCCTTGCCATCTGCAACTGCCATCACCTGAGGTAGATACCAGGATCTGCTCTAAACAGAAATAATTGTTTTCTAATTGTGCTTTTTGCCTGTTTCAATTTCTAGACATCATTAACCCCGTCTCGTTCCTGTGATACCCTTGAGAACTGGTTCTATGATGAGACTTCAGGAAGCTGCTGTTACCAGTGCCCCTCAGGTCAGTATGTTCATAATTCAGCCAAATTAAGATGGAGCCTTTCTCACAGGGATCATAGGAGCCAGGGGTATCTGCAGAACTGCATTTTGCCCCTGAAGAAAAGTGCAATTTCATGAATCCAGAACCAGATGTGAACTTGTTCTCCACTGCCTGGCTCCTGTTTTGGTAATTTACAGCATGCAGGCAAGCTGTAAATTGCAAACAAGATAACTGGATAGGAGTTTTCATGGATTTTTTATCAGTTGATTGGACACTCTGAAGTTTCCAGAAGTAGGCAGGTCTCTGGATTCTTTTCGACTTGCCTCAGGCTGTGAAGCAGTGCAGTGAAATTAGGCCAAATAAGTTTCTGAGCAGAGAAAACACAGTATAAAAAGGAGGTGTGGAAAATCTGTCATTATCCTCCTAGTCAAAACAAGTGTCTTGAGACACAAGAGAAAGGGACGAGCCCCCTGTGAGGGGACACAGTGAGCTCTGACAGAAGCTGGCTGTGACTCAGAAAAGCACATGAGGTCAGAAGCAGGAAACATCTTGGGGAGACAAGAGATCTGGAAATGTCTGAAACTCCCCCTGTTGGCCCAAAATCCCCGTAGTGACTGGGGCATTTTGTGGTACTTCACCATCGATCTCTTCTTATAGCAACGTTTTCTTTTTCTTTTTCTTTTCTTTTTTTCTTTTTTTTTTGTGAAAGGAAATTTTTGACATTTATTTGTGCTGTAATGATAAAAAGGGGGTTGGTGCTTGTTTGCAGTGTTTGCACACAGTCACGTCAGCGTTCCCCCGGGACGCCTTGTACTGCTCACCACAGCACCAGAACTGTTCAGAAGTTGTATAAATAAATAAGACCAAGGGATGGAGAAACTGGCCTCATAAAAGAAGAAAAGGCTCAGGCATCTGAGCCTGAGATGGTCCCAGGAAAAGCTCTTTTCTCCTTCAAAACCATACTTTGCAAAGGCTCCTGTAAAGGCAGATGTCACCGAGCTCACGTGGAAAGCAGAGATTTGATTGATGTCTGGCTGCAACAAGCCACCAGTCCCATTTCACCTCTGCTCATCCTTGAAACTCATTTTGCTGCCACAGACATGGACCTGTTGAAGCAGGTCCAGAGGAGAGCCACAAAGATGATCAGAGGGCTGGAGCACCTCTCCTACAAGGACAGGCTGAGAGAGTTGAGGTTGTTCAGCCTGGAGAAGAGAAGGTTCTGGGGAGACCTTCCAGTATCTGAAGGGGGCCTACAGAAAAGCTGGGGAGAGACTTTAAACAAGGGCTTGTAGTTATAGATGAGGGTTAAATGAGTTTAAACTGGAAGAGGAGAGATTTAGATTAGAAATCAGGAAGAAATTCTTCACTCTGAGGGTGGTGAGACCCTGGCCCAGGTTGCCCAGGGAAGCTGTGGATGCTCCATCACTGGAGGTGTTCCAGACCAGGCTGGATGGGGCTCTGAGCAACCTGGTCTGGTGGGAGGTGTCCCTGCCCATGGCAGGGGGTTGGAACTAGATGATCTTTAAGGTCCTTTCTAACCCAAACTGTGCTATGATTTTATGATCCCCATGTCAGTCTTGGCCATCTCTTCATGTCCTCCAGGGCCTCCTTCACAACAAAACCACATAAGAATCTTTTGTCGTTTTAATTCCATTGCTCCTGCAAGCAGTAACCTGTTCATATCTGCTATTAACTCAACTTCTCACTGCAAAGAAAGAGAAGCTTTTCTATCTTTAAGGTCCTTTCTAACCCAAACTGTGCTATGATTTTATGATCCCCATGTCAGTCTTGCCATCTCTTCACATCTTCCAGGGCCTCCTTCACAACAAAAACACAAAAGAATCTTTTGTCATTTTAATTCCACTGCTCCTTCAAGCAATAACCTGTTCATATCTGCTACTAACACAACTGCTCACTGCAAAGAGAAGCTTTTCTAGAATTCCATTTAACCAAAGTGGAGCATCTCAGTCTCTTGGTGCAGCCTGGCCTTACTTCCCCTGCATTCCAGCTCACAGGTATACAGCTCTCAGTCTGAGCACATTGGCCCCCATGCAAGCCATCCTCTGTTTCAAAATTAAGTTCAAGTTCAATTTCAAGATAAACTTCAAACCAAACCCCAAAGATCACTCTAATCAATTTCTACAGCTACCATGCCTCTTCTCGTGTACATAATTGTTGTGCAGAACAAAATAGTTCCCTCCTGTCGAGGGGAAGAACAGAGACTTCCATCAAAAATAATGGCATATGCTAGAAGGGCTTATGTTATTCTAAGCTTTTTTACCTTTTTTGTTTGGTTGTTGCTTTGGTTTAGACTCTCAATCAGATATTTGTCTCCACAAGGTAGTGCTGCAGTCAACACTCAAGAAAATTTCTCACCCACGGTTAACAGCAGATCCTGGGGGTGAATGAATGCACATACTCACAAAAGAAAACCACTTAAACACTTCATCTACTTACTTTCAGTGCATTTTTCTGTACAGTGGTTGCAGGTGGCATTCCTACTGCTCAGGCTTTTATGTGGCTGTTGAGCTATGAGCACAGCCAGTGGAGAGCAGCTCCAGAAGACACTGGTAAGCAGGCTCCAAAGCTGCTGCACCTGGGGCACACATCCCCCAGGGGAGCGACCTGTGTGCACAGGAAATCTCAAATAACTGAAGCAGAAGATTTGGGGTTGTTGGAGGAGGAAGGGGGAAATGACACACGTGTGCAGTACACACGTGTGCAGCTTGACTGCTGAGGTTCAGCAACCAGCCCTCGCCTGGAAAGGAATAGTCTCAGACAAGTAGTTTTGAGGAGGTGGGAGTGTCGTGGTTCAGGCTTTTCCTGTGGTATTTAGTGGGCCCAATATAGCTCAGCATTTTTACCTGCACTCCTACGTCCTGCTTGCCAAAATGCACAGTAGGTGAGTTATTCCCCCACCAGTTCCCTCTCCCTGTGGTTAACTCTGTGACTGGGTGATGCAGGCTGCATGCTGGAATTTGTTTCTATCCTTCTGTTTTCCACCTGTGGAGCATTCAGCTCTTCCTACCTTTATGTTGCTGCTTTAATTTTTCCTTTTGCTTTTGGAACTGCTGCAGTTCTTTTCCCCCTGGTAGTTATTTCCACCTCCTGGCAGGGCCACAATGTTACAGCTGACCACAGTGCCTTCTAATTTCTTTGGCACTATGGCCAGTGGTGGGATGCTTCATCAGTTGCTCCAGGAGCTGACACATTAGGGATGCCCCGTTCCAGCCTTTCCTGTACTCCTCACTGGTTATTTGACCTAGCTTGCCAGGCAGGGGCTTTTGAAGGTTAGTAACTAGAAAATGATTACCATACATGAACAGAGAGTCATAGGGTAGCTTAAGCTTGGGAAAGACCTCTAGAGGTCATCTAATGCAGCAAGCTGCTCAACTTCATGCATGCTGCGTGTACACAGAAGGTCTGTGAGATCCAGAGTAGTGTGGTTGCAGACTGTGAGCAGTGAGTCCAGGTGAGGTGGAAGTGTTGAGCAGAGGAAGTATTTAGCATGTCCAGCGTCACAGAGACAAATATATGTGATTTGCTTTGTTTAAAGGAAAACAATTGGAAAATGAAACCATTAAACCATCTCATAACTGTTGATGCAACTGTAAAACAAGCAGGACTGCTCAGAAAGCAACTTACTGCAAACCTGCTCAGGCCACGTAGGGCACAGCTCACGGAGTCCTGCCCTGTAACCTCCCGTTCTGAACGTGGGTGATGGGGCTGTCCTGTGTGAATCCGTGTGCACCTAGGAGATCCTGGCAGCTTCTGAAAGGAAAAGTGATGCCTTAGGTAGCAAAATATCAGGATTCTGTTGCTATAGTCAAGAAGAAAACATGAAAAATGATTGCCTGGGGACTTAGCCATGGCAGGACAATATTGCCCTCAGTGCAGACTTGGTGCTTTTCTAATTGTCAGCAAATGACTTGCCAGGGGCCTGTTCTGCACCAGTCCCTACCAGTCTGTACTGGGAAAATGCCACATGCAGTGTTGCTGTGACAGGGCAGCTGTGGTCCCTTCACACTGGAATGGGAGAGGTACAACTGGGCCAAGGAAACCAAACAACGGGTCCAAAGACAAGACTGTGGTCATGTGTCTGACAGGTAAATTAGCATCCAGGAGCACTTCAGGGTGGTTGTTATGGGCTTCCAAACACGTATCCTCGTATTCTGTTTTTCTTCCCCAGGCTATGTTAAAAAGAAAGCATGTCCTAGGGACCCAGGTGAAGATTGTCTGAGGTGTGGTCCTGAGCAGTATGTGAATGAAGAAAACCAAAGGCCGCAATGTGACGCTTGTGTGTCGTGTGCAGGTTTGCTTTCCCTCACAAATACCTCACAGTCCTATTCTCTCTATTTATATTTTATTTACACTTTATTTATATTTTACTCATTTAGAATTCCCAGCAGCAAAGTTATCCATCCTTGGTTACTGCCTTAGAGAGCAGAACACAACCTTGCACATACTCAGTATCGCTGGCTGTGTGACCTGGGACTGAGGAAAATTCCCTCCTCCGATGCTCCCCAGGCCTGATCCGTGGTTTCTGCTCTAGTGGGAGCCATTGTCTGCAGGCTTCCCCAACGGCTCATGGCTTCTGCTGCCACCTCGAAGAGTGCCAGCAGGCTCTGCTCCCTGAGCCTCCCCCCCTGTGTTGTGCTCCCTGCCGAGGGCTCCGCCCTCACCGCGGCTCTTTGCTCCTCAGACCCCGACCTGGTGGAGAAGGAGCCCTGCGCCTCCCGCTCCGGCCGCGTCTGCGAGTGCCGCCCGGGCCTCTTCTGCCAGGACAGCCTCGTGAACACCTGCACCCGCTGCCAGCAGCACACCCTGTGCGAGCCTGGTTTCGGAGTCAAAGTCAGAGGTAGGGACTCCTGCCTGGCTAGCTCACCTTTCCTGACCTTGGCCGTAGGCCTGGACCTGGTGTGGCTCGGTTGGTCGGTCCTCAGTCGTTAATTTTATACAGGCACCTCAACAAATGATGTGACTTGTGAAAAATGTCCTCCTGGGACCTTCTCTGAGCTCAGCTCCAGCACTGACATCTGCAAGCCCCACACAAAGTAAGTCCATAGTTCTTTAAAGTGACTGACTAATTAACTAACGTTAATAAGGGGTGAAAAGGGACACCTGCCACTTCTGGGGTGAAGTATCGAAATCTGTCTTGGAGGCCATGGGATAACACTGGGCCCGTGTGCAGGGTTTAGGAGGCCCTTCTTTGTACCTGTTGCACAGCTCTGTACTGGAGGATGGAAGGGAGGAATTCCCTCTTATCTCATTTTTTGTCTACTAATTACAGTGGAGTTATGCACACATGTGAGGATCAGGCTTTCACCCAGGTCGAAAACTAATGCCACAGGGGTGAGAAGAAGGTTAATGATTTTTTCACTGAAAGCAATAAGTGCAGGTGGTACAAAAACGACCAAAGGGATGTTTGTCACATGGAAAATACTCTTCCCTTGTGCCTGGCAGTTTCCTCTAGCGCTGAGACCCGCTTCTCTTTCGTTCTCTAGCTGTGCCAGCTTAAACAAGGTGGTGCTGAGCGAAGGAAATGCCACACACGATCAGGTCTGCCTGGACCAACTGCCCACCCACCTGACCCCAAGCACTTTGTCCATGAGATCCAGCAATGAAACAAGTAACTCTGACCTCAGGAGTTTTGAGGAGAACCTGGTGACTGTTGCCAGTATTTTAAGTGCCACAACTGAAAACCCCAGTTCAACTCCTGAGAAGAAAGTTCTGGCTGGCACTTTCCCCACCTCAGCCAAGGGGGAGGCAACAACTGGAGGTAACAAAGATGAAGCATTTACTGGGCCTAGCATTTTTTATTTGGAATTATCTTTGGTAAATGCAATTTTCTTGTGGGAGCTTCCTGCAAATCCCCTATGACTTGTGGAATGATGTCCATGGATCTATATCCAAATGCACAGACCTACTAATAGTTGCCCCTCTGCCTTTTCTTAGCCTTTCCTGTACTCTCTTTGCCTTCCTGTGCTACAGGTCTGGTTCTCTGGGGAGTGGTTGTCTCTGTAATAGTGCTACTTGTGGGCATGATGTTGTTTTGGAAGTGGAAGGTTTGCCAGAAGCGGATCCTCATCCTCAAAGCAAAGCGTGAGTTTTTAAAGCTGTACTGTATAGCAGGCTGCTTGATCTCCAAGTATATGCCAGCTGGGAACTCAAATATCCCAAAATTTGTGGAGGTCACTGGGGAAGATAATGGTTGCTGCTGGCTGGTGAAGGAGGCCAGATAAGGGCTTTAGGGAAAATGTTCATGCAGCATGGAGAACATGGGAGAAAGACTGAGGTATCTGTGAATTTATGGAATAAGACACCACAGGCTGGGTGGGGAAAAAAGGTGACCAGTTGTTTCTTCTCTCAGCACAGGCACTAATGTTAAATGATACCTGAAAAGTTTTGTATGTCTTGATTCCTGTGATGGGGTTGGACTTTGAGAGAAAGAGTGATTTTTACTGACACAGGCTCTCTGTGGCTTTGTGTGGAGTTAGTGTGAGGTGTTCCTGTGGAACCACATTCCCTCTTTTACAGCAAGTGGGACGTGCATGTTGGGTTGGTTGTAGACCTGTGGGTGTGGTGAAGCTGTTAGAGGCTGTAGGCTCCATAATGAGTTTTGCTAAACAAATGGTTTCTTCTATCAGCACATCTGTCAGCACATCTGCATTCCGTCACTCCACACAAATCCGGGCTCAGACCTCCAGGTGAGCGACTGATGGAGCAGGAAATGTAACCCCTGTGTCCAAAGGACACGTGGGTGGCTTTAACGTGGACCTTTATTCTATGGAATTTTAATTTAAACCGTGGAACTTTTTCATGTGCAAAGCACCCAGAGGCCGGGCCTGGTGCCAGCCACCAGATGGCACCTTTCCCCCACGGACGGCAGGCAGTGATGTTGGTCGTTGATGTCACTCTCTGACATCACTCGCTGATGTCACTCGCTGATGTCATCCAGTGGTTGGGCACTGGAGAACGCCCAAAGTTCATTCCTGGGCAGCCAAATGCAGGACACGTGCTCAGGGCCACGGGGGCATTGGCCACAGCAGCCCCAGCGTGCTCCTGCTGCCCGGGTGATGACATCCCCCGGCTGCTCCCTTCTCCTCTGATGGGTGAGAGTCCCCTGGGCACCATGCAGCACAGCTTTCTATACTTGTCTGCTCAGGTATATGATTGAAAACCTCTTGTGTGCAGCTGAGTCTTCTCAAAATGGATATTTGCTTCCTCGCTTGCCTTACGCAATAGCAACGGTTCCTGTGTGGCATCCTGGAGCTGGCACGTTGAAAGAGGGGTGGCTGCATGTCAGGGTGAACTTAGGCAGTGGGCCTGAGCCCGTCTGGCTTCCTGATACCACAGAAGGGTGCTGTACATTCTATTCTTCTCACCTCCCTCCATTCCTCAGAGTCCCCTTCCTTCTTCCTGGCATAAAATCCCATCCTCTTAATCTGACCACATGATAAACTGATCCAGCTTGTTAATCCAATAGAAAGTTATTAATTTTTATGTAGTTTATTTATTTATTAGTAAGCCTGTCTTCTGCTTATCTAGAAAGCTCAATCATTTAATCCATTCATTAGAGGAATCACAGTTGTGGTGTGTGGAGAGTGATAGGGATGGCCACAGAGGGCTCTGGGGAGGGCAGAACCTCACAGCCTTGGCAGCAGCACGTTGCTGGTTCACCTCAGCCATGTCACATAAGGGTTCCCTCAGCAGCAAAGGAAGCCTCATGCGGGTGGGTTGGGCAGTGGAGCAGTTTAGGACATGGCCAGGTGATCTTTCAGAGCAAATATTCACATTCCAGTGATTGCTGTGAATTTTCTTCTGATATTTTTTCCTCTTTCCATTGCAGGTTCTGACCTGGTGAACAAACGTCCAGTAAGTGTGAACAGTATTCCAAAACAGATCACTTTCCATTCCAGTGTAAATAATGATATTTTAAAATGCCCTCTTAGAGCTTGGCAGCCTTTTTGTTTGGATGCTCCTCTGCAATGCGTGACCCTCTGGGGGCAGCGATGAGGACCTGCCACTTGCACGTCTCAATCAATGTTTAATGTGGTGTTAAATAATATGAGGCTGCCAGTCTTGCTTGTGAAGGGAGTATTTGGTTTGGTGTTATGCTCTTCGTGTTGCATTATGTGTGACCAAGTCTGAAATAACAGGATGAACATGTCTTTCTTACCTCCTGAGAGAACTTTGCCTGTCAGTCCCTTTTTATCTTTCTGCTCCAGCCACACGAGTGGGATTTGTACTCTGCTTCTGTCTCCCTCCAGGCCACCTTCCCATTTTGCAGGATTTGGCATGACTCTAATGTGGGTAAACAGTGGGTCTTGTTTGTCTGGAAGAATTTCCATTGGGACCAGCTTCTGATTTAGCAGTAGAGTTTGCAGATGAACAAGACACATCAGGCAACATGGTACAACAGAAAGCAGTTCCTCAGTTCCTAAATCATCATAGTTCTGTTTGATTCTCCTTCTTTCAGTGAAATTACAGCAACTTTCATCCTCTGAGTCTTCTCAGTTTAATACACATGTTATCTTTAAATGTCCATATCTGTTAAAACAGTCTTTAGACTGTTCCTTTTATTTTTTTTAAAGTCAGTTTGCTTTTCAGTGATGTACATCTGAACACATACAAGATACTACTTGTTCTAATAAATCTGGCTGCAATCAACTATCATAATTTCAGTGCTAATTCCTGAATTGTAAGGAGCTTCTACTCTTGCTGTCATAGTGTCAGACATGAGCAAGAGTTTTAAACGTGACAGTTCAAATTCATACTATGTTGGTGTTTTGGTTTGGTTTGGTTTGGTTTGGTTTTTTTCCCAATCTTGTGGAAACAGAAACAGAGCTAGAAACCATGAGAAATTTGTGATGCAGGACCTTAAGCCTCTTTCAGATTCTGGCTCCTCTTTTAAAGGACTGTTGCTAATTAGTTCTTCACCTAGTACCTAGTCTGAGCTTGTTTCTCCTACCTGAGGTTCTGCTGAGGCCATTCCATTTTTAAGTTCAACCAGTTCAACCTCTGGCTTGTTTTGTTCTTCCAGAGGAGCTTGGTAGGTCTTTGCAAAATCTAAGAGCAAGTTAAACCTTATATTTTCAGTTGGACTGTTTGACTGTCTCACCATGTGTCTACACATCTGTACAGGTTTTCTTCCAATACTTGCCTCACAAGTAAATATGAAAAATATCTTGTTAAAAGTTCTTTCTGAGCAAGCCCCTTAAATTTCTTACCTCCAGCATCTATCTTTCTTACTAATTTTATACTCTTTGCTGAGTGGTGCTGCTGAGCTCCAGCCTCTACTGCATTCCAGGGTAGCAGACTCTGCCACAGAGCACATGGTGTAAGAATTGTGGCAAAAAGTCAAAATGACAGATAGGTGGATTTACAAAGGTTCATTGGCATCTAGATTGTGGACAAGGCAGTGGTATTCACCAGAGCATCCAAGCAGGTCACTGGATTTCAGTGGAAGTGAGGTACCTTATTGCAAACGTCAAAAATCTGTGTATTTAGCTTAGAAATACTCTTTCTAAATATGACCTTAAGTGATGCAGGAACCTAGTTCAGAGAAACTGAAGTTCTTATATCAGTTGGGCACTTGGGAAATTTTTGCTCCCTGTGACAGTGGTGCTGTGAAGTTGATGATGTTATCCTGACTGGCACGGAAGGGTGCTGTAGACCTCCTGGAGTCTTGGCAGTGTTGGTTTTACATTCACCCTACTCCTGCTCTCCTCTTTGTATTGGCAGATCATGCTGACTAACAGGGAGCCAGAAGAGGAGGAGTTAATTGGCAAAACCCTCCCTTTGGAAGCCAACAATAACTTGGTCTCCAGCACAGAAAAAGCTCATGGCCCTGAGGTGGGCGTGACGGACGTGACGCAGGGCAGTGGAGCTGCTCCAGATTGCCCGGTGGACTCTCAAGTGAGAGACCACACAAATAATCGCATTGGTGAGTCTTGGGGTTCTCTTTTCTTCTTGTTTTTCCTCTCTTGCCTTTTCTGTTTTTCAGCCATGGCAACATAATGTCTTTTGGTGATTACTGGTACACTGCAAAGTGTCCAAAGCTTTTAGCAAAAGTAGGGGCTGAATCTCCAGAACCTTCACAAATTCTGGTATATCTGTTCATTTGAATATAATACTTCCTGATGTTCACATTTTCCTTAGCCACAAAACTGTCAGAAAAGTGCTCTTCTTCCTCTTTTTAATTCCAGAAGACGTAAATTTGCAGAAGAACTTTGAAATCTAAAATGTATTAGCTGGAAAATGACGCTGTAATGCTTAGTGAGAGTAGTACTTCACGTGTTCCAAGCAATTATTTTCTTCTCTTGGTTTCACAGTATTAGCCCAAAATGGGTCTTCCATATGTTCCCATAGTCTTTGACCATGGCCCAGGGTGGGAGATGAATCAGGCAAAGAAGCTTACTCATGGGGAAGAACTGTTAGCTGAGACACAGTCTACGTGAGACATTCTGGGAATGTTTTCAAACCAAATTCTGAGGTTATTTGAATGTTTGGGGTTTGTTTTTTTGTTTGTTTTTGGTTTTTTTTTGTTATTACTAGAGCTGACCTTTTCTTACTAAATGCCCTTTCTTTTTTTACTGTGGGTGATGGACGTGGGATGAATGTGATCTTTTGGCTTACCATACCCAAATATCTCCAAGCAACTGTGAACAATAACCTGCAGTGTCCAATCTGCAGCAGCCTCCTAAATAAAACATCCAAGCTATAGCAAAGGCTTATTTACATTTTGTAAAGGAGTAGGGTCAACAAGTTGGACACAAGGTTCATGACTATCCCAGAAGTTGTAAATTCTCTGCAGGGAAAAAAAAAACACCAAACATTTTTTGGTGGTCCTAAGACCTCAGACAATTACCCAGAATTTCTGTACAGTGCTGCTTTTCATGCAGGTATAGTTGCTTCTCAAAACAGCAGAAGCATAAACCCTGGACTCTCCATATCTGTCTTCCCCAAATCCCAATTAATTGCTGCTTCTAACAGACTCTTGTGAATATCTTACTGCCTTTTCTAATCTGTCTTTCTCCTGTAGTCCTAGCTATAGTGCAGTGGCTTCACCACAGATCTACTTGGTCTAAATTGCCCAGAGTCCCACTGGCAGTCATCCCAAGCCAGGCAGGGCAGTGTGAAACGTGCAGGCTTTCTTTAGCACCTTCTGTGCTCAGTGCTTTGATTTCAAAATTAAAAGCACCTTGTAAGTAATGAGGAAGACAACTTAGAATGTGTGAATTCCTAAAGTTTTAGTAGGTTAGTGAGTGCTGTGTTTTCACAGTGAGTTCTGTGTTTTCACAGTGATGGGCTTGATCTGCTGCCTCTGACGGAAAAAAAAAAAAAGGGGGGAGGAAAGAAAAACTGGGTACCAAATAAAAAATTTTGCACGAAAAGGAATCATCTCTAGGCTCAGCAGTGACTGTTAACTACACTCAGCACTATTTGTTTCCTTCCTCAGAGAACTTATACATCCTGAAGGCCGACACTGTTATTGTGGGGTCCATTTCAGAAGTGCCTAGTGGCAAGAACTGTGCTGCTAGAGGGTGTGAAAGTAATGTTGATGCCCAAGAAAACACAGAAGAGGAACTGGAAATGCACTATCCAGAGCAGGAAACAGAGTCTTTTCCAGAGAATGATGTAACAGTTCCTGTGGAAGAGGAGGGAAAGGAATTTCATCACCCTACCACTGCCACTGAGAAATGATAATCCACTGAGAAGGTGTGTGAAGCTACAGCAACATCCAGGGAGACACTAAGGCTGAATCTATGACAGGGGAGCCAAACACACAGTGCCTTAGATTACCTGGCAAATCATGTACAACACTGAAACACATTCCAGCAAGGAGTGCTAGGACCTTATTTCACTTAATGAATGAGAGCATCACCCAAAGCACTGCCCTTCATAGCTGGTGTCAAATATTCCTCTTCCTCTCTCTCTCCCAGTGTCTTGCTGGAAAGAACTTTGAACCAAAGCTAGAAAAACCAGAGGACATCTGGATGCCCAATCTAGTTTCACAGCTTGCTTTCTCTGTAGGAAAGAATGGATTGAAAACTGTGTCTGATGAACTTCTATTAGCCATGAAAGTTCTGGTCAGAATTCTGGCCAGTTTCAAGCTTGAGACAGCCACGTTTCGTACATTGTTTCTATTCCACCATTACAAGTACATCCAATTCTTGCCATATATTTTGCAACATCTGGTATTTTTCTTAAGGCTTGAACTCTTGACTAAAAGTAAGGACAATCTCAGTTTTCCCAAACACAAACAGAACTTTTACACTTGTGGACTTAGTGTTTCTTGGGGAAATAGGATCAAAAGGTGCGACACAGACTCAGAAGGCAAGTAAAACTAATGGAAATCCACTGTTCTTCAGGCCATTCTTTCTAAGTTTTGACATCTGATTCGTCTTCTTTAACTACTTCAGATCATCAGAAAGTGTCCAAAATGGCCTCATCAGGTGGGAGCCCACTGGCCAAACACTTGGATATTGGATGAACCATGGTTTAGCCCAGTGTGGAGTCTGTAAAAAAGGAAAAAAGAAGAAAATAAACTCATTTTCTACAAGAAGGAAGGACTGAAAAACAGGCATAGTAGTTATTTCCTATAACATTCTTAATATCTGCTTGTTTTAGAATTGCTCATCATCACTAGGGTGACACTGATTTGCATATCTAGTCTTTAAAAAAAACCCTGTGTTGTGGTTGACCATCTTGTGTTATGCTAGTTCTCAGTCTTTTGTGTTGGTAACTGTAAATGTAATAGTGCTGACTATGTTTTTGCACAGGACAGTGGAAAATGAGCAAGATGACAAGGTGTGCTTTAATAGCCAAAAAAAAAGGGACCACAAAACCAATTGTGTGCTGTGTAGTTTTACCCAGGAAAGAGGAGTGTCCTCACAGCTGTGCAGCCTCAGCGTCTTTTGTCTTAGAACACTCACATGAAACATAAGGGCTAAAAACCCCACCATGTTCTTGGGCCAGCCTATGAGCCCAGCATTTTCTCTCTGACAGTCGCAGTGGAGGGTGTTGTTTGGGAAGAGCACAGGAGCCTGTTTTGTCTGCTGCTTGTGTGCCTCACAGTTCTTCCGCGTCAGCTGTAACTGGGGTAAGGGTGTTGAGGAGTTTGTCCCAGCCTTTGGTATTCATCCATACTGCCACTCTCATGAATTTCCTGGTACAACCCACCTCCAAAAGAACCTGTGGCAACAGATCACCTGCAGTTACCAGTCACTGTGTAAAGAAATCCCTTTACCCCTTTTAAACTGACCCCTTCTGTATGTCAGTGAGTGCCACTGGTCCCTGTGCTGCAGAATTCGGTGCAATAATGAGTTGCCTCTACAATCCTTGACTGTATCCCCCTCAGCCTGAAGCTGAGTTCCTGTCTTTTTATATTTCTCATGTAAATTAGATGCTTCACTGCCTTGGTCATTTTAGTTGACCTCTTCCACACCTTCGCTAACCTCACTACATTCTTCTGGACATCTGGAGGCCAGAACCTTGCATTGCACTGAAGAAGTGTGGGCCAAGGCTTAGTGGCAAAATGGTAATTTCTGGTTTTGCTCTCAGTATTTTTTTAGATGATGCCCACGATTTTGCTTGCTTTTTTTTTGGCTGTCCCTGCACACTAAGCAGATGGTTTCAGAGACCTGCCAAGCATGACTCCAAGATTGCTTCTCTGAGTGATAGCTGCTAGATGTGAATCAGCACCATGTACACCTGGGTTAGGTTATTTTTCCTTAAATGTATTGCCTTGTGTTTATTGATGTAGAAGCTCATTTGCCACCTTTTTATGAGTCCCTTCTGGCTTTATTTGCCTCCTACATGTCATGTAACTAGCTGGAGAAGTTCAGTATTGCCTTCACTGTCTGGGTGCTCTTTTCCCAGGTCATGGGTGAAGGTACTGAATAGAACTGGCCCCACTAATGCCCCCTGTTACCTGTTCTCTACCCTGAAAAATTACAGTTATGCTGTGCTTTCCTTCCTGCCTTTTAAACAGCTGCAACTTTTGTTTCCTGTAACCTTTTAGTAAAGCCATAAAATGACCTTTCCTCCAACCCTGTGACAACTCTGCTGTTCCACCACCTTCGGTGGGGCACCTTGTCAAAAGCTTTTTGAAAATCTCCGTGTAGTAGGTCAGCTGGATGTTGTTCATCCATTAAGCCCCACAATATTAGGGAAGGTATGTTATCAAGATTTTCTGACTGAAGGAATAAATCTAGAGAAATTCCTACTCTTCTGGAACCCCAGTCTGAGAGATGAGGTGGGAGAATCTCAGCGTTGCGGGATCTAGTCACTGACTCATCAGTGGACAATCCACCTGTAGTACATTTGAACACTGGTTGTAATTTCAAGTGTTATTTCCAGTATTTACTTCTTGAATGCCACTCTCCTCTGCAAATCTAGAACATAAAATAATGTCTAAAAAACCCACTGCCACTGTGTATTTTGGTTTGTCTGCTGAGTCCTGCAAGAGGCGATGAGTGAGTCCTCGCTGTGCACGCTGTGTTTGCACTTGTTCCATCTGGAAGATAAGCTGCTCCTGATGCTTGGATCCAGATTTCCTTTGCCCACCACTATTCCCATGTCAGCGGCAGTTACGTGAAGCAAGAAACAGAATTAACATTTGTGGTTTAAGTGCTCGTTGTGGAACAGAAGGTCAAGTCAACAAGTACTGACAAGAAGAAAAAAACTGTGTAGGACAAATCCTGGCACCCTCTCCTCGCTGCCAGTCAGGGTAGGTCGCTGCTTTCCTGGGCATACGCTTCATTCACAGGAAATTCCATTTCATTTTAGAGGACACCAATCTGTGTGTTCACAAACTGTTCACCTGGCTGTGACTGTTCAAGGGCTCTGTAATGGCAGCTGATTGCATATCTCAGCTCTATATGTATGTTAATCTTTTGTCCTGAATCAGCTCCCTTGATGAATTGTGTCATCACAGCCTGGCAGATGTGTTGTAGTTGGTCAGACTGTTCAAGGGCTCTGTAATGGCAGCTAATTGAGTAACTCAGCTCTATATATATGTTAATCTTTTGTCCTGGATCAGCTCTCTTGATGAATTGTGTCATCACAACCTGGCAGATGTGTTGTAGTTGGTCAATTTAATGTTGCCAGTGATCTTGATGTCAGTGGTCAATTCAATGGTGCCAGTGTGCCATGGCAGCCCAGAAGGCCAATTGAATCCTGGGCTGAGGAGATCCTGCCCCTCTGCTCTGCCCTGTGAGACCTCCCCTGGAGTCTGTGTCCAGCTCTGCAGCCCCAGCACAAGAAGGACGTGGAGCTGTTGGAGTGTCCAGAGGAGACACAGAAATGCTGGGAGGGCTGGAGCAGCTCTGCTGTGAGGACAGGCTGAGGGAGTTGGGGCTGTTCAGCCTGGAG